TTAGCACGGGGCTAGCTGGCAGGCAGCCCCCATGCTGAAGCAACCTCATGCTCCAGGCAGCTGGGGCAACGTCTACATGTGCACTGCTGCAGAGTTAGTTTACTGTGGCCTAATAGGGCTAATTAGTTAGCTGCACAGTAAACGTCTTGTATAGACATGCTCTGTGTAACACTATTTGTTCAAAACACAGATCCCACTGACTTCAGCTGTGAGGGTTCAGCACTCCTTTAAATCAGACCCAAGTGTCTCAGGCAAGGGATGCAGAATACAAAGAAAATGGAATGAATGCCTACCTGTGAAATGCTTGGTTTATGTGGTTTTACTAGCATCACACAGAATGCTAGGACAGAGGTAAAAATGTCACTCCCCAATTGTTTGAATCAAAAGGTTGTTTTCTCTCTGCAAACTTTAAAGTTCTTACCTTTGCAGCTTTAATATGGCTATTCCAATAGTTTCTGCATGTTATTTTCTAGATTTTTGTAAAGCAAACCAACCCCCTCCCTGAAATTCCTTTATGTGACTTCATTTTGACACCCATTTGGTTTGCTGACAGAGTTGGAACCTTAAGTCCACCGCATGTATCTCAGCCATTTGAAATAATGAACAGCTGGAAGTAATGGTAGTAGGGTATTATCCTCCATGGAAGCTAAGCAATCAAAAGAGATGAAACACATGGTATGTCTACACCACAACATGTAGGTCTGATTGTAGCATATGCTAGAATGCCTGTGCTAGTTTAATTTAGTTAATTCTAATATAATAAAAGCCTTTGTCTGTCTGTCTGTCTGTCCATAACCCTTTGGGCCAACTGCACATGCGCTGCTGAGAGGGAGTGTGCTGATTGGCTGCAAGGGCCCGGAGCATTACGGACAGAGGGAGTGAGGGAGAAATGCCCCCCCACCCCCCGCAACAGCCAGCAGGGAGGGGGAGGTGGTGAGGAAGCGGAAAGGGGGGGGCACTCACTCCCCCCTGCTGCTGCTGCCACTCAGCCCTGACAACAGCTGACAGAGAGGGGGAGGTAGCGGGAGGCCAG